TCCACATGGGATCCGAACCCTCGGCGGGAGCGCCGCCATGCTCCCAAGCGGTGCACTCTCCAGTGCGCCACTGGGCCGGCCCTTAAGTTAAATTTTTAAGGGTCTAGTGAAGACTGTGCATCAGGGTCCAGAGCCACCCCTGTAACTTCTCACCTTGCTTCCTTTCAGCCATGCTGCGGATGGTATCTGCGGTTCTCCAGTTCGGCAACATTGTACTAAAGACAGAACGGAACACTGATCAAGCCACCATGCCTGACAACACAGGTGCTGCCACCTAGCCTGCCTCCCAACAGCCTGGCCCTTGTGCAAGTCCAGCCCTCCTGAGGCCCCTGTTCCAGTAGAGAGCATCTCTGTCCCCAGCCTGGCCAGCCTGCCTGTGACCCAGGACCACTCTGATTTCCTGACCTCTGCTGAGTCTTTGCCAAAATCCACTCTACCACTCTTTTCCTGGTTCTAAAAAGCATGAGATCTGCTAAAAGTTTGAACAAAACCAGCACACCAAAGGGAAACAGCAGGATCCACCATCATCCCAGTCCCTCTGAGAAGCCACCATTAGCATGTGGTGTATCTCTTCCTGGCTTCTGGGCTCTGCATATATACACTTTTTTTTTTTTTTTTTGCTTTTCAAAAACAGAATTATAGTCAATATTTCTTTTTTAAAACCAGAACGGAAATAACTACGCTTCTTTATTATTATACAATAATACAAGCTGGAAGGGGAAAAATCTGGCAAGACAGAGAAGTATGAAGGAAGGAAGAAAATTACCCATAATCATACTCCCTAGAGATAATTACTACTCACATTTTGGGGTATTTCTCTCTGGGCTTTATTCTACGTCTATATCAACATGGATATAGATTGTCACAGAAATGAAATCATTCTTCCCCTGGAGTTAAGAGGAGCTTTCTGTCCAGATCATAAAATCCTATGGGCTCATTTTTAAAAGCTGCACAGCACAGAAAATATGAGGAAAGGGGTCATTCCCCACGATGCTGTCGATCAGCGATATTATCTGTGGCATTTAAGGGCTGTGTTCACAAACCCGGCAGGCATGCCATGCATGTGCATTTATTTATTCATTTTACAAAATCAGAGTCAAACCTTACAAAATGTTTCGAACCTGCTTTTTTCCTTTATGCATTGGGCGGGGGTAACTTTTCAGGTTATTAGCTCTACCAGGATTTCTTAATCTGGGGTCCGTGGGTAGAACTGTATATCCTTATCATTGGTCTCCTTTGAAATCCTGCATATTTTTCTTTTTATATTTGCAGATATTAATTGGGGAAGCAGTCCATGGGCTTCACCAGGTGGCAAAGGGCACATCAAAGGCTTAGAACCCTATGAACAATGTCCTGTTAATGGCTGTGTAGTACTCCAGGACACAATATCTGCTATTTTTTCAAGTCTTTTTTTTTTTTTTCTGTTCTTAAATGCTTCCCATGTAATGCAAAATCACTGCAAAAAATTAGAAACTGGAATTGCACACCTACCCAAAGGACAAATTTAAATTCTCATAACCTCACCTCTCAGAAATAATCCCTGTTGACATTTTGGTATATTTCCTTCTAGATGTGTTTCTTTTTAATTTTCTGCTGGGGCTGAGTTTTTTTTTTTTTTTTTTTTTAAAGATGACGGGTAAGGGGATCCCAACCCTTGACTTGGTGTCATCAGCACCACACTCTCCCAAGTGAGCTAACTGGCCATCCCTATATGGGATCTGAACACGTGGCCTTGGTGTTATCAGCACCGCACTTCCCCAAGTGAGCCATGGGCCGGCCCAGGGCTGAGTATTTTTAGTAGCTATTTTTTCATTATGGAAGTGATAGATGCTTGAAAAAATTTCTTTATTATCATTTTAATTAAGAGAAGAAAGAAGAAACGCACCTGCCCACACAGCCTCACCCCCATTTTCTGCAAAAACATCTGTTCAATATTTTGGCATCCAGGTATTTTTCTATGCAATTTTTTTCTCTACAAAAATAAGAAATATTCCATAATGTTTTGTAGCCTAGGTGTTTTCCTTTTAATATATTTTACTCTTTGTTCCATTTCATTAAATATATCCCCAATATTTTCTTGTAAAAATTTTCAAGCATATAGAAACGTTGAAAGGATTTATTTGGAGAACACGTTGTGTTTCTGTTTTCACCAAAGGTTTCCACCCTGGACTTTTTACTCTTGTTGTGATTGTAAGTGGTGCCTTTTTATTGATTTGTTTTAAATTTTCACCCTCTTTTCCACAATATAGATGAGCAATTAATTTTTAAATATTTATTTTGTGTTTGGCTACCTTAGTATGAATGTTTATTCCAACAGCTTTTCCCCCCAACATTTTATTATGAAGTTTTCAAGCACACAGAAAATCTGAAAGAATTCTACCGTAAGCACCCGGGCATCCACCACCTACATTCTTTTTTTTTTTTTTTTTTTGTCTTTTGTCTCTTTTTCCGTGTCCGGCAACGGATCGCAACCCTCAGTGTCGCCCCCGTACCGGACCGGGGACCGGCAACGGGATTGCAACCCTCGGC